TATATATATACCCTGCACGTCCACGCACCCCGAAAACCGTGAGAATCAAAGCGCACTCGTTTAACTGGTGGGCCCAGGATTTAGCATGTTTGCCTAAATGCGAGCTTGATGCTAAGGTTGGTTCAAGTGGCATGGAACATGGGCCCGAGCAGAAGCAAAGAATAGCTGTGCATCCGAAACACATGCTTCAAATCAAAAAACCATGACCAACAGCTTTTAAAAGCTCATGCTTGTCCTCTTGCTGTGGTCGATCTTGCTGGTGCGCCTCTCAGTAGATCCCTTTTCGATTTTTTTGAAGCCTGAAAGTTACAAGGGAGGACAGTCATTAGTCTATAAGGTGCCCGTGATGCCAGTGGTTCGAGCAGAACAAGCCCTGAAGAACCGTCGGTGTCTCAATTTTTCGGCATCGAACGCCCGAAGATCGCTGCCCTTCCCCGTTCTTGGCCCAGGTCTGTCAGCAGACGGAAGCTCTGGATTCGACGGTGCTTGCTCCCCTCTTGCTTTGCCTGCCTTTTGCTTTGAAGTGCTGAAGTTGGCATCGACATGTGTTACCCTTGCGGTTGCAGCGGCTGTTTCCTCGAGCGAGAGCTAGGGATGCCGGACTCGAAGCCCAACCCCCGCAGGGTTTCCCTTTTGAAGGACGGAACTTTTGAGTCTGCAAACTGCAAGCATAACTGTGCGATGCACGTGTTCAGGAGTTCTTTCGCGATCTCCTGAAGCCGGGGTACATCAATAAAAGAATCGAGGACGGCAGGAGAGCTGCTAAGCAGAAGCTCCCAAAAGGTGAGAAGCAGGCCCAAACCCGTCATGTAATGTACGTAGATCAGACCCCAAATCCAAACTACTTGGTGCAGGCTCCCTTCCTGTATCGGTTCTTGGATGTGACGGGCAAAGCGATTTCCGAAGAGCAGGTGGGGCATGATCTTTGTTATAGAGCATTTTGCAGAAACAACATCCGAATCAGGTTACGAGCGATCACAATTTTGGAATTATTGCAGCATATTGTGGGAGCTTCGCGGGCGACTTGCCAACCAAAAAAGAAGTGGAGGCCCCGTTAGAATCATTTGTCTCAGTTCTAGATTCTTCTATTGGGAAAACCGTTTCATCTTTTCGATTGCAGGCAGCAGTGCAATGGGCCGGCACTACGTTTCGGCTGAACGATGCCATCGATAGTGTTAGCCAACAGGCAGGATTGAGATACCGATCGTAAACCCCCTAGACGGTTTCTCGGCTCTTGCACGCCCAGGCTTGGGCTGAAGATGAAAGCGCCGTTTTGAGGGGTTTCGCCTCCTGGGCTTGCGACCGAGCCCAGAGGAACGCCAAAGCCAGGCCAGTCCACGATTTGTGGTTTTCGTGCGAGAAGAAGTAAGCGAAGATGTAGCGATCTAGGATCCACCTAAGTAAACATGACTGGTCGTGTGTATGTGTGTGTGTGTGTGTGTTTGAGTCTAAGCTTGGACAGGAAAGGTGAGGACCACGAGAAGATGCAAGCTTTGAAACAAATCATCCAAAGCAGAAAAGAGGAGCCCACTTTGACAACTATTTGAATCCCCCACCCAAACTTTCCTGTATACTAATGTATGTTTCCACCAGGACTTGCGGCCAGATACACAGCCGGCCGAGAGCAAGGCTGGCTTGGTTAGATTCGGGGCTATTTTGGGGGTGTTTTCGGGAGTGGCTTAGGGTTGGAACTTATAACATGGGTAATAAGTCTATTCGGAACAAGGGTGCATTTAATAAGGTTTTGGGTTTGATCGGGTCGAGTAGGAAGGATGGGGCTAGGGCTTATATGGTTCTGATCAAGAAGGTAGAGCGGTTGTATAAGTCTGAACAGAGGGTTCGGGTTTGGGTTCGTCCGAAATACTAAATGTTAAAACCTGAACTTTCAATCCTAAGCCCTAGACTTCCTAAAAGCTGCACCTTAACTTAAGTTGATAACCCTGATTCCTTGATGTGCTTGCAGCAGTTCACTAAACCCTGATGCCTGGACCCCGAAGCCTAAGTTCTAGGACTAAACTCTAAACCCAGTTGTGTTCAACATATGGGATTGATTTCGGATCTGGCCTGTGGCTTTAGGCTTGAAGAACTGAACTTAAGTATAAGCGGCTGATATGAACATGATATTATTGCATACTCTTCGCAGACGAGACAATACATCAGGGTAATGCCTGAGTTCTACATTCGTACAGCTGTTGCTGCTGTTGTTGTTGCTGCTGCTGCCACCGCCAGGATGAAGCGCACGGCGACGATGCCTGCCAAAGGGAGGGAGAGGAAGAAGAGCCTGTAGAGGAAGATGAGTGCATGCCGGGAGAAGACATAGAAGAATCGGATAAAGAAAAGGAGAGCGGTACATTCAAGGACCTATGTTCTGCATTGCAATCGATAGAGCCAATCTAACCGCTTCTAGAGATTCCCCTTATTCTCGTTGTGCTAGGATGAAGCAGTCCAGCAAGGAAAGACTCCGAAGATCAAGGACCAAGTAGATGCCAAAGCCGAAAGCATGCTAAAAGCTTCGCAGGGCGAGGATGCAAATTTGGCTTTGGAGGCTCTGTTGTTATCTTCGTGCACAAGGGCACTAGGGTTCTGGAACCAATCATAATATGGTTGCATCTTTGCTAGAATCGGCGGCCAGGCTCAGAAGAAAACAAAAAAAGCCCTCCGAGACAAGAAGAAGAGTGCCGAAGATGATGATGATGACGACCCTCGGTCGCCTGATTCCGTCCCTGAGAGAGGGCGGGGGAGGGGAAGGGGTGGCAAGGGTCGGGGGAAGGGAAAGAAGAAGAAAGATGATGTTTTGAAGAGGCCGGCTGCTCGTTCGGAGCCTGAAGCCTCAGCGAAGAAGGCCAAGCATGTTCCAGGAGAGGACAAGGAAGAAATGGAGGAGCAAGAGGAAGAGGAAAATGCTCCCGAGCCACCGGAGCATAAGAAGGAGGGAGCCCAGAAGTCCCCCAAGGATAAGAAGGATGAACCCCAGAAGTCCCCGAAGGATAAGAAGAAAGATCCCCAGAAGTCCCCCGAGGATAAGAAGAAAGATCCCCAGAAGCCAGAGGACAAAGACACAGATTCTCAGAAGCCGATTGACAAGGTTGGTGGGATGCTACTTTCAGAGTTGCAGGTGAATGGGATGTTGCTTCATGGGGTGCTAGGGATTCAAGGTTTGAGGGGGCTAGGGGACTAGTTGTGTGGTATGTTCTACGAATAAGTTAAATAGACAAACTATATATTATATACCCTCAAATGATAAAACAACGTAAACTGTTTGTGTGCTAAGCTTTTTTTGAATTGGGTTGTGGAACTGTTGCTTCGTCCTTTCAGGAGGGTACATGACTGAACTCCGGGAGGTCAAAGCGCATTGGGCCCCCAAGTTCCGGGAGTTGGCAAAGAAGGACGACCGTTTGGAGCTGGACGAGCTCGTGCTGTCAGGATCCAAAGGGTAGAAAACTCAGAAGTACGAGTCATTGCATCCGTGTTCCAAGACTTGCAAATGTATTCGCATGAGGTCATGGACTATTCGATTGGAGGGTCAGAAGACTACTATTTCACCGAGGTTCATCCCTTTGTTGGTTGTGCAATATATAGCCTACAGAATCCACACAACCCGAATCTCACATCAGGTTCACACCATCTTCCGGACACTGGTATGTGACCGATCCTGACCCGGGGCGAATTCCTGGATTGAACCACAAATACAAGACGGACTTTGCTGTCCGGCACCCAACTACCTGTATCCCTACACCGAAAAACCCTGCCAATGCCCAGATCAACCAGAAGAACGGCCTCACCATGGGATGGAACCACTTCGACAGCTTTGAGCTTTCGCCTGGCACCCAAAAGTTCGTTCGGAATTGGGGTCAGCTAGAGTTGCATCAAGGTGGAAGGCTGCTTTACATGCAGCTGGGTGGCAGCTGTGAATGGGCCATCGAAAGAGGCATCTCTCAAACATCGTTTGAAGTTGATAGGATTCGTTGTGTTGTAGTTAATATATTGTACCCCGACAGGTTCTGGCTACTCTGTCAGCACAAGCGAATGCAGAAGCCTCGCTCCACAAGGACAAAAAAACAACGGCACGTGTTGCTATCAGCTTGATGTTTGTTTGCACTGCATGCATCCACGACGACCTGTTCCATGTCAAGCTCGGGGCTCGGTCTATCTAGGAAAGGGTAGCAGGCATGGCTGAGTGGATGTTAAGCGAGCTGGCTTTGTCTCGTGAGTGCTTGCTTGCATTGGCCTATGCTGGCTTTCCAAGCTTGATGTGGCTCGATCAGAATCATAATCATAACATCCAATTCTTCAACCCTAAAAGCTAAGCCCCTAAACCGAAACTTTATCACGAACCAACAGCAAACCCAATCTTTCCCCTGAGGTTACACCTTGTCGACTACGTGGCCCAGAATGCGACTGGATCCAACCGAGTTCGAGCTGAAGCCTCGGTATTGATTGCCTTTATCTGGGGCTCCTTGTGCTCAATGGTGCCTAGGACTTATTCTGTGTGGACCTCTTCGCCGGGAAGAGGTCTATCGAAAGTGCATTCAGCCGTGCACTTACAGTTTACTTCTGCCCTTCTGTTGAAACACCATGCACCATGCCTGTCAGTTTTGATCTAGGCAGTCTGCAGCAGTAGACTTTAAATCAAGGGTTTCGGGTGTAAGTAGTTTTATCACTTCGTGGGTCTATATTCCTTGCTGTGCTTCCGAGATGCACGTGGCCTCAAGTCGCAGGGGTCTCAGCTTTTACAATCGTTTGAGCACTTCCTCGGAGCCTTGAACAAGATGCATGACTCAGGGACTACTTCGATATGTGTGCTAGGGAAGAAGATGATCTTTTGACGGTGCCGGGTTCTCAATTCAAGGCCTAAGTTCTCACAGGCTGCAACTAGGTGGTGATGTTTTTCTGTAAAGGGCTTCATCTGAGGCTCGGCCTGGTCCGTGCCGTGAACAAAGTCTTACGAATCCAGAGAAAAGGCCTGCTGGCCTGTGCCCTGCCCTGCAACTCGTGGGTGTTCATGAATCGCTCAACCTCGGGGCGGCGATGGTGCATATTCGGCACACCCAAATATGCCTACGTGAAGAAGGCAAATGAGCTTTCTCCTTATGATTCAGCATGGCAACTGTTGTTGTTGTCTGCCCCGAACGTACCCCTAATATAACCCTAAATTATAAACCCTAAATTCCCTAAGCCCCACACCTTCAACATAACACCCAGACTCCCAGCCCAGGTTAGCAACTCGGACCGTGCTGCTGTGCCTGCTGGCATGTATGCGGTGTGTGCACTGGACGATCGAACAACCTTCAAGCTCGCTATTTCTTGAGTTTCCCTACTTGCAATTCGTGCGAGAATGCTATGCTTCCTACATGGAGATGCTGACCGTTCGATTGTCAGGGTCTTAGCCACGACCTGTTAGTTGCAGAAGAAAACTCTATCTAGGGATTTTAAATGCACCGAAATCATACAACCACCAAGTTGGATGGGTACCTACGGGCATCGATCGCCCAAGCTCTCCGTCCTCGTGGGGACTCCGTTGGGGTCTTACCATTTACTCCCTGGCTTTGCACCGCAACAACATGGGACTAGTTCTTCGAAGCTCTGTGAGGCCGTGGCTGCCATCGATGTTTCAACGCCTGACCAAGAGCAAGAAGAAGGAGCTGAAACTTTCTTCGAAGGGAGTTTCAAAGCGATACAAGCAGAAGGGTACTGGCAAGAAAGTTGTGAGCCGACCTCAGATCCTGCTCTCGGTTTCTGCATGTATTATCATCTGAGCTAGGGAAAAGGGAGAGAGAGCGAGAGAGACAGAGAGAGAGAGAGAGAAACAAAGAGAGGCAGAGAATAAGAGATGCAGCTGAAGTTCTCTTTCCCCAACTCACTCAGACAGAAATTCTGCTCGAGACACGCACAGACAAACGCACACCGACACGCACACGCATACGCACGCACACGCACACGCACACACACACACACACACACACACGCACACACACACACACACACACCCGCACACACACACACACACACATACATGCACACTCTCTCTCTATATCCCTCCCTCCCTCCTTTATACTCAGCTGCCCTGTCAACCGCAAAGTCCCCCGCACACCCACCCGCCGCCCCACCCGTAGCCACACCCATCCAACTTAGCACACACACACAAAAGCACACACGCACACACTCCGCCTGTCTCTCTCTCTCTCTCTCTCTCTCTCTCCTCTTGCTAAAATCTCTCTTTAGCTCTCTCTCTCTGTCCCCCTCTGTTTCTCTCTGTCCCTGTATGTGTGCCGAGTGAATTTCACTTGTGTTGAGGCAGGGAGGGCCGAAGCTGAAAAACACGCAGACCTACCCGGCTGGCTTTGGGGAAGCAATTGCCTCCTACCACGTCGAAGTGATCGCCTCTTGCTTGCATCCCCGGGTCTTGTGTCTGCTGTCCATAGCATCAGAAAACAAACTCGTACATCATATATTTGCATGCATATGTGTGCCTAGAACGACGACGATTGCCACTTGGCCCCGGGTGTGAAGAAGCTTGCCGAGGCTGGGCTCCAGCTGTGTCCGAGTGCTTTAATTTTATCATGCAACACAGGCAGTTGTCCCTGCATTGGCTTTATGTGGCTTCGTGTCAAGGCCGCACAGAGCTTGCCGGTGGTGGAGCCGCCCTTTGATTGGAAGCATGCCAATCTGCAACCGCTGTTTTCTTTTCTTCTTGACGAAATAACAGCCGGGCGGTATGTGCCAGCCTTTGATTTTCCCTGAAGTGCATCTTAATCTTGCCTGCTTGGCCACGAAAGTGTGAAGGCTGTATGCAGCGACGAAGTGTGTCCTATGATTCAATGGGTGGTTGTGCAGGTCATAGCTGCAGCACTGGCTGTGAGCTTTTGCTGTAATTCACGCAGCATATCACATTGGGGATGAGTTTCGTGATGCTAGCAAAAAAACACCACCGTGAAAACAGCGTGAAAACAGCGTGAAAACAGCGTGAAAACCACCGTGAAAACCGTGAAACCCACCGAGATAACTGTGAAACTATGGTAGTCCCAAAATCACAAAATCCCCACAAGCCCAAACGCAAGCTGCTTGAGTCCGTGAAGTGCTCCCGCAGTTCTGAATGCATGCTTCAATTTCTGCTGGCTTTGATATCACAGCTCTATCTTGCCGTGGGTAGGTGTTGTGCTGACCTGTATAGAAGTTTCGGCACACGTCGGCGGGATGCCGGTCGACGTGCAGAAGATTTTGGAGCAGGCCCGCCAGCGGCAGTCCCGGGTCGAATCTACTTCCGAGACTTCTTCGCCCCCATCCAGGAAATGGTGAGATCCTTTGTGGTACTTGTTTGTTTGGACGCAATGCTCGAGTGGCTGAATTGAACAACATACATGCCTACCAAACATGTTCGGTTGTGCCTAGGTCCTACGACAGCAGCAAAGAAGATGCCCAGAATCCTTTCCCGGAGTATGAAGAGACGCCGCCTGGAAAGAGAACTTTCCAATCCAAGAAAGCTGGCCGGGAGCCGCTGAGTGTCGACTCCGCTGCCACACTAGTTGTGGAAACCCCGCCGCCGAAGCTCAAGCGGCCCGGATCGACCGACTTGTCAGGATCTCTCTCAAAGAAGGTCAGACATGCTTTGAGGAGGCCACAAACAGTAGATCAGAAAACGGATTCTGAAAGAAAAGCTGATGCAACAAAGGCACAGAAGAAACTCGAGGCAGAGTTTGAGGAGGCTGATAGCAGCCAGTGCCCGGAGGATGCAGACACCACAGCCAAAGAAGCCACCAAAGGCAACAAAGCACCCCCTAAGGCCAAGGCCAAAGCAAAAGCCAAGAACAAAGCAACGGTTGCCAGCAGCAAACCCAAAGCCACCAAGCCCAACGAGGAGGCCGATCACACGCCCAAGACGAAGCCCAGCAAGGACTCTGAAAACGAGAAGCAGGCCCCGACCAAGACCAAGCCCAAGAAGGACTCTGGCAAAACACCCGCGACCAAGCCCAGCGAGAAGGCTGACAGCAAAGCACAGGCCAAGGCCAAGCCCGCCAAGGACTCTGGCAAAACAGCCCCGAACAAGCCCAGCATCAACAATGAAAGCGAGACCGAGGAGCCCCAGGACAAGAAAGCTAGGTCCAGTAAGGATCCCATGCCCAAGTCTTCCCCCAAGAAATCTTCGAAGAAACCCGGTGCCAAGCCGGTGTCCCCAGAGACAAGCAAGGCAAACCAGAAGGATCAGCAGGAGCAGGAGGACACGAGCATCGACGAGAAGAAAAAGATAGCACACAGGATGTACATGCGATTCTACAGAAGTGTCCACAGCCACTCGGTTGCTTTTTGTTCCCACCCTGAAGCATGCAATGTGATGTGCCACCATGCTACATGACTTGGACATTATGTGTTTGTAAAACAGACTCGAGGCCGCACCGCCCCCAAGGAGATCAAGTCTGCCTTCGAGCAGTCCAAGTACTGCAACATGTTTGCACTAAGTGGCCACAGGTTTCGTCATTTTTGCATGCATTGGCAACGTGCCCCATTTTCGTTTCACAACTCCTGTTTCATGCCAGGTAAGAACAAGATGAGCAGTTTGTACGAGGATTTCCTCCAGACGGAGGGGAACTGGAGAAATTCTATGGTGTACAAGAGCATCAAGTCCACCACCCGCAATGGACGTCGCGGCATTCGCCGCTGGCTCACGAAGAGCCAAATGCTGACCGTGTTCGACACCGCCGAAATCGTGGACAGCATTATCGCCCGCAAGGAGACGGACGAGTACCTTCGGTCCACGGAAGTCAGGGAGCACCCAGACTGCCCAGGAACGGGGGGTTGTGGTGTCAGTGACAGTGCAATCCAACTTTTCCGTATCACTCTATGCTGCCCAGTGCAAACAGCTGTTTGATATGTCGCAGGCCTCATGCAGTACTTGGTGCTTGTCGATGAGGAAGTGACAGACGAGGACGTGGATGAGATCGAGGACATGTTCCGGACGGAGGATGCATCTTCCAACGGCGACACAGACGACGACAGCGAGGACGACGACGACGACGACGACGAGGACAGTGACAAGTCGAAGCCGAAGTCCAAAGGTGGCAAGGACCGATAAGTCGTGTGTGAGATTTGGTGAACTAGTGAGTGGCTGAGCCAGTGCTTGAACGATTTTGCACGTTTGTACGTGTTGTGCATTCATGCATGTGTGTGTATGTGTGCATTTTGTGTTGTATTTATGGAATGCAACTGAACGGGTACATGTTATGCTGAGTCATATGCATAGCATATGTACATTTTTGTGTTGGCCGCTAGACTAGACATGTATATATATACCTCATGTTGGGATGTATGCATACAAGCTATGCCACATGCCATGCCGTGACTTCATGACCAAATCCTAAAGTTTGGCGAGGGCAAAGACAAGAAAGACAAGAAGGACAAGAAAGACAAGAAGGCTGAAAAGAAGCCCAAGAAGAACAAGAAGCGAGGAAAAAAAAACAAGAAGAATAAGAAGGACAAGGGAGACAAGTCGCCGGAGGATGTGGAGAAGGAACAGGAGAAAGAGCGATTCAAGAAAACAAAGCAGGAAGCCAACAAGGCTTGTGTGCATATATCGGATATACCGACAACAACCCATATGCTCTCACCCTCTCCTTCATCTGCCCTCCCAGGTGATTGGCCAGCTTAGCAAGATGATCCGCGAGCACAACATAAAGGTCGGAGAGTTGGAAGGTTTGTTTCGGGCTAAGTCTCTCAAACTGACAGTGGCACACACACAACTCTCAACGAATGCTTCGCTCGGCCAATCCCGCCTTGTGCCCAGGAGCAAGACTGTGCAGAACGCCGTTCGGAAGGAGGTCAATGATGCAATCGCACAGCTCACGACCTGCAGAGCAAACTTGCAGGCTGCTATCGATGGGCATCAGGAGCTCGGTATTCCTTATCTGCTTGGCTGCCTCAATCATTTCGCTTGATCAGATGATTAGGGTTTAGGGTTTAGGGTTTAGGGTTTAGGGTTTAGGGTTTTGGGTTTGTTCCTGGTCCCGACACCAAACTCCCAAGGCCAAAGTCCTGCAACATAAAATTTGGAAGCCTTTAATATCGCACTCCACCATACTTACTAGCACCCCCAAAAAACCCAGCACGCTGGGCCCTGAGTAGTTCTAGTCTTGTCAGGAGGAGCAGATGTTGTCGATGACCGACACCGCCAAGGATCTGATGAAGAAGATGGAGGGCTCAGTGCTTGTTTTCGGCAAGAAGAAAAGTTTCTCCAACAAGGAGAAGAAGTAGGAACATCGTCCGAGACGCAGCACACGAGCGGATAGTCTAAACAGATACGGACCCAACCGTCTATTTGACTACCTAACCTATGTAAGCAGTACAATAGTCCTCGTGAACGTGATGCTGTGTGGAGAAGACGATGCTTTACCCGGCATTGCGATATCTAATGTCGGTCTCTCGCTACAGAGTATGAACGAACCCTGCCAGTAGCCTACACCCCGCGCAAGGGGACGGGGTAATCCCCGTGCACATAGCTGTGTAGGGTAGATGCGACTTGGTGGGCCCCGCTGACAAAAGCTTCATGTGACAGCCAGCTCGCCTAGATTGCCCTAGAAAGCAAACCGTGGGTGCAAGCATATGCGCCATTTCAATACATTAGATTTAGTTCAACACCAATTCGCTCGCAGGTGCTGTCCCGACTTCATCAGAAATGGTCTTTGACATGATCGACAATGTTGCTGCTGCAGCCCCTTGCCTTATACCGACTCGTGAATCACAGTCCCTGAATAGATTAGTAACAACCCACCGTCGAAGCCAAAGCCCAACCTCAACAAACCAAATCCTGGAAGGCGAGCTCCATCGGCCGCGAGATGAGAAGTGCTAAATCCTGTGTTTCCGAAACCCAGCTGCACCAACTTGAAATTTATATACCTCCTAATCAATTGAATCGCTCTTGATCAAACCTTAACCGAGGACGCTGCTGGTGCTGTGCTGCCCGCCCCGCTGGTGAAGATGGGATCCTTCTGTGGCAAGAACAATGCCCGTGACTTTGCACGATCTGTTCGGCTTCCCGTGGTGCTTGCTTACGAAAACCCCCGATCACAACCCCTGCAGTATTATATTTAGACCCGAACTACCAACCCGCAGAATCTGAGCCTAGCCAACAAACAAACGCCTTCAGGCCCTGCTTAGGTTTAGGGTTCAGAGGCTTCTGTGGGCTTGCCTACGGTTTATAACCTACATAAGCTCGTGTTGCTTAATCGGGAATTAGGTATCGGGTCGTTTGGCAGGCCCCTGATTACGTGGAAACCATCGTCAAGAAGAAGGCTGATTCGGAGGAAGAAGTACGTGTAAAGATTCCGGTTCTTCTCCCCCACCGCATACTGGCCTATGTGTTTGACGAGCTGGGCCTCCATATCAGTACAGATGCCCTATCCAAGTATTGGAAGCACTGCAAGCGCTACTGTCCCTGGGCTTCCGATCCCTCTTTCGATGGGACTCACATCCCTGTAACACTCTACGGGGACACGGCTCGATATGGGCAAGGCTACGATCAAAGCAAAGTGACAGGTTGCTTTTTGAGTCTTGTTTTGTGGCGGCCTAAGTCTACAAGGATGAGTCAATGGCTGTTGTGGAGCCTGGAGACTGAACTGAGTTTGGGATGGAAAAGCCACAACCCCCTCTACCTTGCTGTTGTGCAATCTTTAAACGCTGCCTTTGACGGCCTGACCCCGGACAATCGACCTCTGGGTAGGAAATTCGCCGTGACACAGATAAAGGGGGATTGGGAATATCACTATCAGACCTGGAGGTTAAAGCGATGGTGGAAGACCAGGTGGTGTTGTTGGAGGTGTGATGCTGAAAATCACCACCAAGCCCGGCACCCGATCACCGACTTCTCTGATGACCCGTCCTGGGAGCAAACACAGCTATCTCACAACCGGTTCGTGATTGAGGGCATCGGCCAGAATCACGTTTGTGGCTTTTACCAAATAGTCTGGATGATGTAGGCCCAACTTAGCATACGAAACAAGACTGTGTTTTACTTAAGTCCGATCCCACGTACAAAGCAGTGTGACTGAGGCCCCCTATTGGGACTACGTGGCTTTCATTTTGCTATGATTTGCCACTGCAGCTTACACAATGTCAACCTGGGACTAGCACAGGATGCTAATGGCTCGACCCTGTTCTTTGACTTCAATACTTAGTAAAGAAGCATTTGCTAAGATATTCAAATGCAAAGCTATGATCCCCGACAACACTTCATCTAAGAATGCTCAGGATGTTTTTGGTGGAGAATGGGTACTTTGGCGACCCGAGCGCCAATTCCTTGCACAAGCTCTTGGTTGTTGCCTTCCGCGATTTCAAGACGTTCCAAAGGCAGAAGGGTGTGACCTGCTCCCAAACCAAATTTGTGCCGAATTTTGTTACTCACTGGCACTGAGCAATGGGTTTCACATATATAACATGTAGGGTCTAGAGCATAGAACTGATTCTGCAACCTCGCCCCTGCCCTAGGTATGGAAGCCGGAAAAGCATGGGGCCCACATGGCTCACAAGGGATACAACGGCCGAATTATCGCAATGTGGCTTGGGGATTGCATGGAAAGGGCTTCTTACCACAGAACCACGAACGACCGTGATTTCGGGCAGTGGCTTCATGAGCGACATCAGAATGAAGGGAAACCCTGGCCGGATGATGATGATATACGATTCGCCCCTATCTGTGCAGCAATGATCCTTTGAAGCTATCCAGCAGAAGCCTTGTTGGTTTCATTTTAGCAGAATTAAACAAATTATCGCAACCCGATGCAACCCTAAACCCCGAACACTTAACTAAACCTTCAACAACCAAAGAACTGAGACCCAAATCCCCCGAGGCAATCGCTCTGCCAGTGGTTTGACGCCGTCGAAAGATTCCCCGTGTACCTGCTGCTCGACTTGGGTGTTCGTTGCTTGTGTTGAAATGAGAGGAGGGCTTAGCGGGATAAGGCTGAGGGTGTGTAGGGCCAATGCTTGTGCCCGGTCAGGACGACTGCACAAGCAGATGAAATCTACGATCACGGAATGCGGTATCTTAGATACCACAACTTGCTTTGCAAGCTCTCGATGAGGCCCATTTCTCGTGGAAAGCAGGATTCAGGGTATGAAGATCATGCCTCCCCGAATGCAACACACGAGGCTTGGGAAACTACATTGGCACATCCGCCCCAAAGTGCACGAAACTTGTCTGCATTTGGAGAGTGGCTTTCTTGAGTTGGATGGTTTCGAAGCTTTTGCCCTGCCTGCTAAGCCCTTTCATCATCAGCTGAAAGATGCCAAGCACAGACGAAACTTGGCTTGAATGCCGAATGCTTTGTCAAGTTGGGTGCTCCACAATTTCATAATGAGCAAAACTCTACAACCCAAGGTCTCAACATCCGGCTGCACCACACGTTTCGAGAAGAAGATGCTATGCGGTGGCTGAAAGGTGTCTGAGCTGATTTTGACTGAAGCACTGACTACACCGGAAGCCCAGTACTGATGAGGGATGATGCACCCCAAGGCGTTGCAGTCGCATGCGACAAGAAGAATATGGAATGCTCGATTATCAAGTACGCCCGTTTCCGCTTGGCGTCGATGCGCCGTCCCTCTAGGATGGCGGCCCTGAACTTGAGCGCATCCCGTAGACGCTAAAAAAGGGCGGAGGCGCACCGATTCGTGAACTCCAGGATCAGCTGCTGCTGCTGCTGCTACTGCCGCTGCCGCTGCTTAGTGATCCTTATCCCTTCTGCACCGAACCCTTCGACCCCGAAAGCAAGCCCGAAGCATCCCTCACCAGCTTACACTGAACGCCCCGGCCTCGAAAACAAAACCCTAAACATCCCAAACCAAAAACTTAAGCGTTTATGGGTAGAATCTAAGACCAAAGCTATTGGCAGTTATATGCGTGGGTTAGGTGTCTAGCGTGGGTTACTTAAACGCACCCGTTAAACCCGTGGTTTGGAAGCCTAGGGTATATATATAAATACTATGTATGCACAGGTATATGCCCTCTTTGTTACCTCAGTCGAAGCGTCCACTGCGAGAAGCTAGGTTGTGAGAGTGCAACCGTGGACTTTTCAGCTCAACAATTTTACCTATATATGCTCCACGTCCTAAACCCTCAACCCTGAACCCTATACTAAACTAACCCTAAACCCTAAACCCTACACATCCCCTGGTCCTTGAAGTAACACTCTACCCCAAGGGTTTCAATTGCGCGGCGGAGGTGCTAAACCAAAAAAGTTGAAGTCTCACTCTGGAAATTCCAAACTCTCCCTAAACCCCAAGACACCCTATGAACACTAACCAAACGCTCGTAGTAATAAGATCCCCTCATAGGTCCCCAAATTCTAGAATAACACGTCCCCAAAACCCAGTTCTCCGAGTTTTGAGGCCCCCATAGTTGCCGTCAAAGCGGCCGTGATGTGCGGGTGGTTCAACCTTAGCTGCTCTGGGGGTGGGGTCTCGTGGGATCACAGGGCTGGGGGTGGGGGCGAAGCGGGGGCTAATAACGAGGCTTTCGGGCTTAGGAGGGAAGAATGATGTACTCACAAGGGAATGAACAAACAGCAAGTGATGGCAAACTAGCAACAGGATTGCACAGCAAGATAGCAGCAATGGCTCCAGTAGTAGTTTCCGTGGTATCGGACTCTAGCTTCTGACTGGCTTAGCACTTAGATCTGCAGGCAAAACAATTGCACCATCAGAGCAACAAGGAGAGCCCGAATGTGTGAAAGAGTCAGAGCCCGGAGGACAGAAGGGCAGGTCGCAAAGGAAAGCCAACTAGGGTAGTAGTAGCGTGATTGTGATTCTCGCTGTTGCTAAACTTATAATCGTGATTGCAAGTTATCAAGTTATCACTATTCCACTGAAACCGTAGTGCGAGTGAAAATAGTATCCCTGATACGCTCGCACCCCGAATCCTGGAACTTGAACAAGCGGGAAGTATGCGGGGTTATAAGAAGGATCACCACAATTCGAGTAAAAGCCTAGAACCTAACTGCTAAATCTTATGATCCTTTAGGAGCCAGTGTCCAGGACCCAACTAAGGCCGAGCATAGCCACTGCCCAGAGGTTGCTTGGAGTTCGATTGGTAGTTCTTCGGTTCATGGACTCCGCTCTGTATGACTGAAGTAAAGGTCTTCGGTGCGCAAAGGTCTTCGAACACAAGTCCGAATTTGCCACCCTCTCCCCTCCCTCCCAGCACCAGCTGGAACCCCAAAACCCCCCAACTCTAAGCCCCAAGTTTCTAAAGCCCAGTGACACACGCTGCTGCAGCACCAAGCTGGCCCGGAAGGTATCCCTCCGGTGGATGAGGTTCACTGAGCTGCAGATGCGTGCCAGCATCAGGGCCTCTGCTGAGTCTCTCTCACAAGCTTATAGCAACGGGGCCTTAACGATCGGAATACGGCTTTGGCGTATGTTATGCTAGAAATACATATGTGTGTGTATATTATATATATATATATGGGGATGATAAGGGAATACCATACTATTCCGACCCCTCGATCAAGCTTCCTAGCAATCAAAAACTCTACGGCCTAACTTTGTAGGGAGCTTTTCACTAAGGATCCTGCCATTCCGAGTTCGATATTAGGTCCCTCCTCGTCTGAAACTCTTCCAGCTTGCGGGTGAAGAAAAGTGAAGCCTGCCTATTGGGCTCTAGGTGGTCTTTACACTAAAGATCCCATGATTTAGGCAGCCAGCCGCTCGGACCCACACCAAACGGTTTCGGGTTTAGGGTTTAGGGTTTCCTAAACCTTAAACCCTAAACCCTAACAGCATTATGTCCTATTATCTACAATGTCACGAGTGTCTTGGGTTGATGTTCTACCAAGAAGGACAACAATCCTTCCGGAGAGCCCAGGAAGGCTCTCTTTACTAGCTACTAGTGGTCCTGGGGGCTGGACTTCCAGGATGCTGTGATTGCAAGCTTCCCGGGCTTCAAGATGGTTTGACTGGTAGAATTAGGGGTGTGTTCTATTTGGAAGCTCAAACCTTACCGAGGTTCCGAAATTTAGGGGTTAGGGCTTAGATCATGCGCTGTTTGCTGTGTGCAGGAGGGGGGGCCCTCTATAAGCTGAAAGCTTGGGTCTTTCTGTGACGGAGGGCCGGAGCGGGGGAGGGGTTCGAGGTTTAGGAGGCATAGAAGCTTTGTTGTTTTTTTGGGACGGCAGCTTCGGAAGCTTGGTTTTAGGCCGCGACTAGAAATGACCACCCTCCCCTAAAGATCGCGGGTAGGCACGGAATAGGTTTTTGCACCGCAAAAGAGAGCAACAAAAACAAGTGCCATAATCGCTCTGTAAACCCTAAACCCTAAACCCTCAAAAAATTAACCCTAAACCCTAAACCCTCAAAAAACTAAAACCAATGTCCTCAACTCCTGGGCCGGAACCCAAGCCCTGATCCTTGCATCAGCCACCGAAACAAAGCCAAAGACTTTACCATCCTAAGGTGTCAAACACACACACAGAGACATATGAATGTATAATGTATGTATGTGTAGAAATTTATATATATATATGATCCCGGTTCGG